TCTGTCTGTCTGTCTGTCTGTCCTATCCGTCTATCTGTCTGTCTGTCTGTCTGTCTGTCCTATCTGTCTGTCCTATCTCTCTCTCTCTCTCTCTCTCTCTATCGTATCTATCATCTGTCAGACTGCATGACCTTGAAACTACAAACTGAACACCTTCTAATTCAATCTTTTAATCTTTTAAAACTACTTCAAACCTTTGTCTGGGCTTTCTCAAACAACATCAAAGTTAGTCTGGACCAATTTCTTTTTTTTTTAACCTGATTTTCTTTAATAATTTGACAGTTTGTTCAGAAATGTAAGGCCGAGAGTGTAACGTCATGTGCTGATATGATTAGTGTTGTTGTTCTTGTTAGTACACCATGCTCTCTGGCCAAGTTCCGTTCCAGAGTGAGAAAAAAGGAATGACATCATCGCACGCAGCTGACATCATGCACAAGATCAAAGAGGGAGATTTCTCATTGGACGGGGAAGCCTGGAGGGGCGTGTCTGAAGAGGCCAAAGATTTAGTGAGAGGTACTTACACTGAAACAATCGAAACTTGCTTGAGTGCTGAACAATCTTAGTCCAAGGGAGGGCTGGATAATGCCATCATTGTAAATATACTAGTTATTATACAAGTTACAATATTATACAAGTTAGAATAACCTCCAACGTAAGCTGTTTAATTAATGTTTTGGGTTGTTTGAAATTAATTGTTGTAATTGAGCATTAGAACATAAAACTAGCTACATATAATACATATTATTACTTACTGCTAGAGATGTGCTCTGAAGTGACAGCACTGAACAAAAAACGTAAGCAATGAATGTTCATGTTTATGCGTAATGTGACTTTTGCAGAATTCGAAATTCAGTTACAACTTTATAGAAACTAGTCAAATAAGAACTTTTTTAAATTTTATAATTACAGCATAGTTATTGAAGCATTTGGCAGATATGCAATCACCCATAAATAAGATGCTTTTACTCTAGCAGCGCACACACACACATAGATATAATAACATTTATGCACTTACCAGACGCTTTTTTACAAAGAGCAATTCATCAAAGAGCTAGTAATATTTGTAATATACAAAGCCTTTGAAGTGTTTTTCATTGAGTCGATCAGCGAGTCGACGGCGAGATCCACCAAACATTCAGATGACAACAAAGCTTTTTTTTGTTAAGATAAAAAAAAATATGATTCTTAAGAAAATATTTAAAAATTTTTCAAGAATTGAACTTCCTTCTTGGAATTCATATTACAGTTCAAATCTTCTTTCACAAAACCCCAAGGGGGCCTTAAGATGACTTAAAGTTATTTAAATATATTATTATTAATATAATTTTTGAGGTCAGAGTTTGGTTCATTTGAATGAAATAAGTGCTGTTTTCAAACTCATCTGCAATCATCCTGTACTGTGTGCAGCTTATCTGAACGCTATCGGAAATTAACCTCTATTGATGATGTATGATTTGGTCACTTGGTCACTTGGTGATTTGTGTGTATGTGTGTGTGTGTGTGTGTGTGTGTGTGTGTG